TGGCTGGTGGGGCAATCACTGTAATGGCGGAGTTACTTTGATCGGAGTCACTATGGTGGAGTCACTGTGGCAGCGGAGTCATTGTGGCAGCGGAGTCACTGTGGCGGCGGAGTCACCGTGACGGCCGGAGTCACTGAGATAGGGACTGGCGGCTGCGGCGGCCACAGAGTTGCTGGTGGCTGCAAAATATGGACTACTAATCATATATATAAAAGGAATATTAAAATAATAAATATATGATAAAATACAAGGAATAAATGACTTTAGTAACTTTTTTGAAAAAATTTCAAAAGAGGTCATATTTTTTCCTTTTTTATTCATTTTAGTAATATTGAAATAAAAAGGCATAGTAAAAACTAGTACGGAGTTAGGGTCCGTTTACTTTGGACTTAATCATCCAGTTATATACTTGTGTTTATTTAGGACTTAATTTAATGTACTAGAATGAAGCATGACTTATTCGCTGATAATAGAATATTATTAGGAATATTCCTAATAATATTATATTAGCTGAGCTACCTCAAAGCCTAACTTCTTCATCTCGTTATTTTCTCTAATCTTACATCACTTTTCTTTTATGCTTGTGATTACAGTTTTTTTGTGGTCATAGTTTTATTTGACCTCATTAATCATTATGTGGAAGTAGATTGGTTGATGCAAGTGATTGCAGATTTTATCTTTAATTGATGCCTTTGTGATTCTAAAGTATTAGATGACTCAAAAATCGAAATATCAAATATCAAACTTTTCTATTTTGTCCCAAACGACGAGTTGATTCATTGTTTGGCAATTTGTGAGTTTGTGACGAATTACAAAAAGATTTAGAGCATATACGAGCATAAAAAAGATGTTAACTTTTACTCTATGCTCCAAAAAAGATATAAATATTCATACTCTGTTTTCTCATATTATATTTTATTTGTTTGCAATTTGTAGCCAAGCATGTAGTTCCACGGTTCATACTCCGTTTCCTCATACTTTGTAGTTGCATATATGCATGATATGCGTAGTACTACCTCCGTACCAATTTACTTAGCCAATTTTGACTTTTCCACTCAAAGGTATTAAACTTTGACCAATTATTTAAACTAATACATTTATGTAAAATTTAATAATTTTATACTTTAATAATAGTATTTTTAACAAAGAACATTTTCATATCTTTTACATATTATTATTACTTTCTCTATATAAACATATAATCAGTCAAAGTTAGACGTCATTGACTTGAAACGTCAAATTTGGCTAATAAAATTGGTTCCACGGAGTACTATTTAGGTGGGTTGCTATTTTACATTTTTGTTTTCATCCTAAACTGACCATTACAAGGTCTAATGAAGGAATATGTTTCATGGAATAGGGAGCTCAAGAAAGCTCGTGAAAAAGTACACTTTTAGGATTAATATATCCATTTTTTGAAGGCAAGAAGGTTCTACGGTTGATGGATAGTGTATTCGGGGGGTAGCTTATCCGAGGGGTTACTGCGGGGAGTAACTAGAGAGAAGTCAGAGCAAATAAGTAAGAGAGAGAAAGTATTCGATTATGTGAACTTGTTGTGTTTTACAATGGGGAAATAGGCTGCTATTTATAGTAGCAATAAATGCTAGATAGGGACACATGTCAACAATCTGGTGGTCGAGGTGTCACCTCAACTGGGGTGGCAGTGGCACTCGCATGTGGCCGCATTAAATGCCGTGGTTGGATGCAACGTTTGTACTTGGTACGTTGATCCAGCGCATGTGGATGAGAGATTCTGTCGAGGAGGATGACTTCGGCTGTAGATGACAGTCTGAAGGCTCTGCGTACCGGGGGCCTCATAGTGCCGAGGGCTCCAATTGCCGAAGGCTTGGTTTTCAAGCCTTGTTCTCCTGTGATGTTTCTGAGCTTGAATTCGTAAATGGTCGCCTTCGGCCATGGCGCCGAAGGCACCCCATATGCATATTGTTGGCTGTTTAGAGCTTCATTCTTCTAGGCTTGGCCCGTTTTGGGCCTGCTGGGCCTAAATGCAATAGTGGTAGTATGTGGGCCGGGGGTCCCTGGGCCATATACTCTATCAACAATTTTTTTTATAATCTAGGTGTCGGGGCTTACGCTCTCATAATCCCGGAGTCTATGAACTACCCTCCAAAGCCCCTAGACAATTAATCCGGATCTGATCACAGTCAGCCTCGTCAGTACTGGCTTCAAAGGACGGATCCAGCAGGACTTACATCACTTTTTCAGGCTGCTCCTCTCACCACACGAACCCGCTATCTTCATTACCATCCTCTCCCTTCTCAGCCGCTCAGCAACTCCATGAAGGTAGGAGGAATCATTGGGAGCAAGATCTCCCTCCTCTCCCCTAAATGTGCCTAGCGGGATTCGAACGCGAGACCTCCGCTAGGACACGGTAACCTTCCACGCAGTGAGGTGGAATGGTTGGTTATTTAGACAGCAACTAACTCCATTTTTTATAACTTGTGCACATTTTCCACTTTCTTTAATTTGCATAGGTTTTGGAAGTGTTTCAATCCAGGTTTTTCTTAAAAAAGTAGGCTGTTTTTTCTTAAATAAGTAGGCTGAATTTGCGATTTCAACGTGGTATTCATTTTTGTTTGGGTTGATTGGGAATTAGGCCTGGGATCGGTTCGGTTCTTGTTAAAATTCGATGGAATCGTATTAAAAATTATAGGCGTTAAATTTGGTTCGGTTCTAGTTAAAAATGTACTACGTAGTTGTTAAATTTGGTTCGGTTCTAGTTAATTTCGGTTCGGTTCTTACATTTTTTCGGTTCCTAATAAAAATTTATTGTCCTCCTAAAATGAATACATTTTACCTTCAGTTACATAAAAAAATTCAAATTTTAAATGATGAAATTATGACCATTACATTATACATACATGATATTCCAATTTTCAAATATCACAAAAATATCCAAGTGCAAACATTAAGTTTAAACATAACAACAACATAGATGTTTAAAATAGGCATCAACTATCAAGCAAAAAGGTTTAATAACTTCAAGGTACACATCTAATGGTAGGTGGTTCAACCTCAAAATAATATTCTTCTACTAGTAATGCACCATAAGTAAAAAGTCCGTAATAATAAACTCACCAGTAATATTTGTAATTTATTATGAACAAGTAACAACATAATCAGCGGAGTAATATTTTCTTATTGTGAACTCAAAAAATAAATACAATCACAAACAAATAATAAATATAAAAATCGACTAAAGCAGTAAAATAACAACTACTCGAGTTGGCGTGGTTCACAATATATAAGGTATATTATGCAAGACTAATATTCCTGACAAGAATTTTCTGCCCGGAACGTCGTCTGGCCACCTCCATTTGAGGTGTTTCTGGGTAGAATCTTTTGAGAATATTTTGTGAGAATGTTCTACATGAAGTGAAGATAACATCCACCAAATTTCAGCTTAAAATGCAATCGGGAAGTGAGTTAAATAAAATGTTGAAAAATATTGTGTTTTTATATGTATTTTGACGTAGTGTTTTTCAATAATTTATTTAATTAACTTCCCGATTGAATTTTAAACTCAAATTTAGTGGACATAATCTAAATTTCATTGAAAACAAGCTCACAAAATTTCATTAAAAAATTCCACCTAGAAGCACCTCAAATGAAGATTACTCATGCAATGTATAGGAAGTTCAGTTCCTGTCTAGGAACCGAAACCGAACTGGAACTGAACCGGAACCGAACCGATCATATAATATAGGAACCGAACCAAAAAAAGATGAAGTCCAAAATTATAGGAACCGAACCAAACCAGAAAATTCGGTTCGGATCGGTTTTCCCGGTTTTACGGTTCCATGTCCCAGGCCTATTGGGAAGGAATAGCACACGATTCTCGATTATTAACACAAGTTGCATTTAATCCTAATTCTATCTTTCCATTTCCTTCATATGATACAAAGGAATGTGGTGATTGCTTGTTTGTTGTTCATAATATTATTAGAAAGTCTAACGTTGATAATGACTTTTTTAATGAATGAGATGATGATAACATAATCAACAATGAAGCACTAGAGAAAGGTGGAAATATTGGAGAAGAAGTACATGAAGCACGATATATGATGAAATAATTAATTTTAGAGTACACTTTCTAATGAAAAGGAGATTTTTATGAATTATAAAATTGTCTAGCTTCCTCCATGTATTTTGCAAAAAAAAAAAACTCCTATTTTTTTTTTGAAATGCTCCTTTTAAAACTTTGTTAGCTTTGACTACGATATTAATTAAATAATAGAATAAAAATATGTGATTGAGATTTATATAAACAAGTTAAAAATAATATGGAATAATATAAACTATGCATATGCTCATGCATAATATTAACTGTGAACATGTACATGCATGTATTTGTACAACTTCAGATACTCATGTTCCACGAAAATGATCTTATATCATTGTTACTAAAGATGTTTTATTTTGGACTGTTTTCAGTCCCATACTAGATTAGAGTAATAGACCAGATCGTATCAGACTCGTCTTAACAGATCAAACTAGATCTAAACAGATCAGAACAGACCAAACTTGAACAATAATATGCAACACTTTGAACTTCAATATGTTTTGAAATGGAAAATTGACCATTCACAAACACTTTTGAAGTAATTTTTGTCAGAGGAAGCCAGATATGTTTGTAGCTGAAAGCAGCGGATTGTGATGTTCTAACTGTGTTGTAAGAAGAAGAAGAGTACATACTTGTCTTGGCTATTGCAGCAGAGGTCGTCGACGGCGGAGCTATGGTGTTATGAGGCTACGATCGATGGCGGAGTGCGGCCATGGTGGAGTAAAGAATCGCGGAAGATGAATGGCTTAGAGGAAGATGAAATTGGCGATCGATTGCAGAGGGTTAGGTTAATGAGGGGTAAAAATGTAATCTTTAGTCCTATTTAGGCAATTTAAAACTTGAAGTCGTATTTTAGAGTTTTAACCATGTTTTAGTTCCATTTAATATAATTTCTTTTGATTGAATAAGCAAAAAGAATCGGATTCGCAAGAGGTAAAATGCTAAATTGTGCCATTTGATCATATCAAGACAGGAAAGAAGTGCCAGCATGGTTATGGTGAAGGAGATTATGAGCAATGGTATCCCTAGCAATCCTTGCACCAGATGACCTGATCTGAACCTCCGGAACCACCTCATCATCGACCAGCTCAAACTGATTTGCTGGATCGAACCCTTCGTTCCTGACTTCGCATATATTATGCAACACGCAGCACGCCCCGAGCACAGCAGGCAAATCCACGAGCTTAATCTCAGTTCTCTTCTGCAGACAAGCCCATCTCCCTTTCAACCTTGCAAAAGCATCCTTAGCCACACCCTGAATCTCCCCAACCTTCTCATTGAGAGCATGCTGTGTCCATGTCAGATTCTGATGCGTGTAGGGAACAAGAATCCAATCCATTAAAGGGTAGCTCGAGTTCCCAACTATCCAATTGCCACTCAACAACCCATCATTAGCATGCCGGTATACGGCAGATTTCTCCAACACCTGATCATCGGACATTGATCCTGGCCATCCAATGCACACTTCAGTGAACACGCCTTTTGGGTCAACCACCCCTTGGACCGTGATAGAGTAGGATGTTTTCTGGTTCCTATATGTGTGCCTCTTGTTGAAATAAGCCGCTACGCTGATCTTAGGAGCAATGATGGGTATATGAGTGGTATACACCGAACCTATGACGTTTGGGATCCCGGAAATACTCTCGTATTCGTCTTTTATGCCTCTCATTCTCACCTCGTCCGGCCATTGGATGTATTTAGGCAGCAAAACGTCTTTGATTGCATTACAGACCTCAAGAACGAGTTTATGGCAAGTGGAAATGCCTAATCCGAACTTCTTAGAGACTAGCCGGAGTGGTTCCCCTGTGGCTAATCTCCATATGCAGACTGCCACTCTTTGCTTCACAGGGACGGCAACTCTCAGAGTGGTGTTCTCCTTTGCCACCACAGAGCTTAGCTCACTGCATATCATCTCGAATGTCTCTTTCCCCATTCGGAAGGCTTTCTTGAATTCTTCCTCCGGGAAATCCAGACTGCTGCATTGGTCCCACCAATCCTGGGAGCGCTCCTTGACCCACAGCCTCCTCTGCGGCAGAACGGTCTGGGTTTTTTCGCCCCTGTTGATGGGGTCCGTCTGTTGGTCGTTGGAGGCCGCCGCCACCGCAATCTCCGCCGCCGCAGCGGAGGAGTTGCCGTTTACTCTCCTCTTCCTAGTCCCGTCGATCAGATCGACGGCGTCGTCGTTGTGCTGGACGTAGGAAAGATACTCCCGCATCGCGCAATTCCTCTTCCGGAGGTTCTCTTCTAGAAGCGCTATGTCGTCGAGGTATTCCATGTACGAAGCTTCCTGCTCGTCCTTTTCTTGCTCCTCAAGTAACAGCAGCGACGTCAGAATCTCTTCCACCTCACGGGTTTTCGCGACCGCGTGCTTGTCGTCCTCTGCAACCTCGCTGCTCCCCTCCCGGCGGCCAGAAACGTGTTCGGTGACGCTATCGAACTTCTGCCGCCGGCGGCCGTTATTAGTTGGCTGGTTGTTGCTACAACTCATTTGTTAGAAATTCTGGGTTACGCGAATATATAATCAAGTAGAAATAGACTACCCGGAATCTGCATTGGAGGAAAGGAAACTTCATACTTGTATACATGAAAAGGAAGGAATTGGAGGGGTTGCCGCGAAGATGTTCGGTATAATGTGTGAACGGAAATGTGAAAGCATTCGGACCTCGACAATTTGAAAAGAAAAAAAGGAGGGAGGATCAAATAGGTCTTTGTACCCAAATTACTCAATTTGCCCCCTCAACCCAAAAAAGCTCCAATTGACACCCTGAACTTGATAAAAAGATTCAAATTTCACTTTTTGCAGGTCACAAGCCGGTCACCACCACGTCACCCGGTAGGGTGCCAACTTAGGGGGTCAAATAAGCCCCTGAACCCGATCGAATCGTTCAATTTACCCCCTCAACCCTAAAAAATGTCAAAAAAAATTTAAGGGTTGAGGGGGTAAATTGAGCATTTCAGGCGGTGACCGGCTTGTGACCTGCAAAAAGTAAAATTTGCATCTTTTTAAGGAGTTCAAGGTGTCAATTGGAGCTTTTTTGAGTTCAGGGGGCAAATTGAACAATCCGGAAAGGTACAGGGGCCTATTTGACCCTTTATTGTGTCAAAGGTACACACTTTTTTGTGTACACATTTTTTACACATTTCTGTGTAAGATATTTTTTATGTCTGTACAGACATAAAACAAACCTTACACAGACATGTGCAAAAAGTATGTACACAAAAAGTGTGTACCCCAAGTCCAACTCTTTGGAAAAAGAGTACGTGTGCTTGTCCACTTTACATTCTGATTTTACTGTTCATCCAAAAGGTGGAATCTCCCACCCCAGGAGCCCCACCCAGACGTGACAGGATGATGGGGAGCTTAGTCATGATTCAGTCAGCAGAATGGCAGTAGCCCCATACACCCGTGCGCATCAGAGGCTCAGTCTTATTTCAGGTTCTGTGACCTCCACCCGGTCGCTGCGGGGATTCAAACATTGGTCCATTGATCCAAATCTCCCACCACTCGACCAACTGAGCTACCCGTGTGGGTACATTCTAGTTTTACTAAAATTACGTGATGTCACATTTGGTAAATTTGTGTAATTCCAATTGATTCTTATTTTAAAAACATCAAAAATGATACTCCCTTCATTCCTAAATAAACTTCCAACTTTTCTTTTTCGTCCGTTCTAATTAAAACTTCCACTTTCCCTTTTTGGTAAAGAATTTGTGGTTCACAACATTTCTTACACATTTCTCTCTCCTCTGCACAACTCTCCACCACACAATATCCACTATCTTAAACTTTGTGCCAACCCCATTTGGAAGTTAAAATGGGAACGGAGGTAGTATGTAGATAAGAGGAGGTACAAAAGTGTAAGGAGTTTTTGTGAAATTGCTCGTTAATAGATGAAAAATAGTATACCTATCCCATTTGCATCTCTACTTGTGTGTTTCACAAAAGGTAATTCGAAATTGGGCAATTGATTTAATGTTTAGACTTTTGTGAATCATTCAAACCTTTCAAATGGGGTATGAAAATGGGGTAGACCAAAGCATTGCTCTTAATAGATTGAATAAAAGAAACAAATCGGTGGGCGTAACTCAACTGGTAGCAAGAGAATGTCACAAGGTCCCGGGTTTGAATGTCGACAACTGCGATAAGAGATTACTATGTTAAAATTGCAAAGGGCAAGTACCAGGGACAGAACCCAATTCTATATCTGTCAGATTAAGATTATAGATTTTATAGTTCAATTTCCGAGAGGTCGGTGCCTCTCGGAAATGGGTGTCATTCTTTCTTTTAACAAACAATGAGTGACGATGATTGTTGAATGAATGTCAGAATCCGTTCGAGCTTTGTATGTGCGAAGGGGACTACAGAAAAGTCAGAAAACCGTGTGACTTGTATGAACGCGGCTCCCCATTTTGACTAAATACCGGCAGACAGAGACACATTGACATTGACCATTATGCAATTATTATTATTAAGAAATTAATTTGTCCTTTAAAAAAATTAATTTGACCTTTCAAATAAAGAAAATAATTTGCCCTTTTAAAAAATTATTTGTGTTTTTAAATAGACTTTTTTTTCAAATACTCCATATATATGAGCAGTTTTTCTTTTCCGAAAATATGACTCAAGTTGACTTGTACATAAAATAATAATGTAAAATTGTATGATTGAAATTTGGGAAAGTTTCTGAAATAAGACCAAACAAGTTTTAAAATTCCAAAATAAGATTGTTATATTCTTTTTTTCAAAATAGGAGTAACATGATAGTATTTACTGTCATTTTATTGTAATTGCTACCAATAGTTGTAGTACTATGTGTTAAACATGACAACTATCATTGATGATAATATTTTTGAAATATGGAAAAAATTTCAATCATGACAACTCCTAGAATTATGTTTTCTAACATTTTCCCAGACTACTCCTATTAATATTTGATTTTCCCGAAATATTAATATTCATTAAAAAATAAAAATTACTCATTGTAACGCAAAAATAGATTCTCCCAAGTATTTTCGGTGTATATGGATAAGAAACTTGAAATAACATGGAACATGTCCTTATATATGGCTGTTTTGTTATAAGCACATGAGTATATCTGTATGCATTTCTTTTAGGGCAAGTTAGAAGACGCCTCTTTTATGGTTTTGCAAAGCCCAAATGTTTAAAATGTCAAACTTTTATTTGAGTGTAATTTTTTTATAACAATGAATATATGTGGCTTGCAGGTATTGATGAAGAGAAGAACATGTTTGCCAATTGCTTGGACAACAATTTTTTTGATTATAAATTGTTTTTAATTGGTTTTTCTTGTACAGACTAAGGAATAGGAATTACCTAAAACTTCAGAAGTAAGAGTAAGGAATAGGAATTACCTAAAACTTCAGAAGTATACATTTTTTGCTCTAAATTGGTTTTGTGAGATTATAGTATTTGAAATTTGGGGTTTATCTGCCATTTATAAAAAGGGAAGAAAGATTTATTATATATATGTGCACCTTAAAACTCTACTCCAATCTAATAAACTCTGGCCATGTTCACTAGGGACTATTCAGCTCATTATGGCCTGGAATTAGTAATTTCAGACAATCGACAAGAAAGTAGACTTGTGTGTAATAGAATCATTAGAGACTTAATATTGTACTTTACATTAAACTCTCTTTAATATAAATATATTTGTCAGGACTTCTTAGGAAGCAACCTTTCCATTATTCTCACATGCTATTAAGAGCACATTAATTTTTTTCGATTCTCTCTCTCACTAAACCCAAGCGCCGCCGCCGCCCGTACTTCTTCGGCGCCGCTAGCCAGCCGCTGCAGCATGTCGACCTCCGCTTCCGCAGCCTTCAGCATGACGGCAACCTCGGCCCAGCACGCCTCCACGGCAGCGCCCACGACCGTCATCACCCCCGGCGCTCCTCCGTCCATTGGATCGCTGCCGGCACCAACGTCAGTTTCTTCCGGTGTGACTTTCTCCTCCAACTTTACTTCACCAACCCGGGTCTCTATGCCATATTCTCTGTTTCAGAATGTTCCGTCAGTGTTCCTCTGGTCCGCTCCAATTCCCGTGCAGCCTGTCCCTCTAGAGCTGCCGCCCCTCTCAGCCGGCCCTACCTTTGCTGGCCCCACGTTCGTCGGCTCACCTGGTGTCTCCTCCGTCATGCTCCCGTCTCGCACACCAACAGCCAGCCCGACCGGGACTCTCCTCACGGATCTTGCTCAAACCATCTCTCATGTGGCAACCAATGTCACAAATATAGTAACTACCAAACTTTTGGTGGTGGAAGACTACACTACTTGGTGGACATAGTTCGAATCATTTCTGTTGTCCCAAGCTCTCCTTGGCATGGTTGATGGCTCCATTCAGGTACCACCTACTTATTCCATAGATGCTCTTAACCGTCAAACTCCCAATCCGGAATTTTCCACTTGGTTGCGAATTGATCAAACAATCCGTTATATTTATATCGCTCCACATGTTATAAATAAAATTACGAGATATTAACAACTCAATTAAAGAGCAAAATCTTAATAAGGATATTGTACATTTTGAAATACATTAAAATAACTAATTTGAGCAATAGGAAATAAATTGAACTAGCCACTACGAACGAAACGATATTACATGTTTCGAAATATTTATTTTGATCCATTCCATCTTATTCCCGGTAAATAAAGGTTAATACACAAATGTTATAAAGGAGTTGTATTACATATGAATATGGACTAATAGATATTAATGATTTTATATTGAAACTTGTTTATAAGCTCATACCAAATTGAGTTAGTTGTGATTATAAACTTTTGAGATTTTCAAGGAGTTGATTTTTTATTATTATTAAATGAATTGAAAAGCTACTTGAAGTAAAATGTATTATTTTGAGATTATTTAGCCACACGGGTAAAGTCAAAACTGGTTAAGTTTTAATTTTTCAATTTAGTATATTTATGGATTCCGCTGCCATGACTCGTCTCGATGATGACCTTCCGTTGTAATGTCTCGAGTTTTCGGCCAACTCCGAAATGAGGTCTCTTGCTTGAGAAGGGGTTTTGTTGACAATACCCCCTCCGCATGCCGCATTCACCATGCGTCTATCTTGATCAACAAGTCCATCATAGAAGTAGAGGATGAGATCTTGTTCTGAATATCCATAATATGGGCAACTAGCACATAATTTTTTAAAGCGCTCCCAATATTCATACAAGGTCTCATTGTCTGCTTGCTCAATGTTGCTGATTTGCTTCTTGAGACTTGAAGAGATAGATGCGGGATAGTACCTGTCAAGGAAGCTCTTCTTCATTTGAGCCCATGTATTGATGCTCCCCGAGGGAAGATAAAATAACCAATCTTTGGCGGTGTCTTTGAGAGAGAATGGGAAGGCTCTCAGCTTGATTTGCTCCTCGGACACGCCATTAGGGCACATGCTTGTGCACACAATATGGAACTCTGACAGGTGTTTATTTGGATCTTCCCTCGTAAGCTATGGAAAGAGGGAAGTAGATGAATGAGCCCAGATTTTAGCTCGAATGTGACCCCCGTATCAAGAGTTGGAAAAGTGATACATAAGGGTTGTTGATTTAGATTCGGAGCCGTTAGCTCCCTTAACGTTCTTGTTTCAAGAGCCATGTGAAAGGACTCTTCGGATTCACTAGAATGAGAACTAGCACTTGATGATTCCTCCGAAGAAGTATTCGGAAATAGATTCCTGAACCTCTCGAAGGCTTGTTCTGTTTCGGGCTTTGTTTGGTAGGTGATTTGGTTTATAGATCGGTGTTTAACCATATACTCAAACAAAGCTCAGCCAAAATAGAAATCTTTATATATAATTTTTTTTTATTTTTCTTTGAAATAAAATAGAAAGAAAAATAATTGCCTTTCCCCGACAACGGCGCCAAATTTGACGAGCACTTTGTCACGGTGCGTCAAAATAATTTCAATACTAAACACTTATACGTAGTATAGCGTAGTAGAGTTCGTATCCACAGGGAAAGGAATGATTTTCTTTCTATGAAACTAGTAATTAAAAAGGGGGGTTTTGGTTTTGAGTGATTTAATTCAATTAAGAAACTAAGATGAACAACCTATATGTGTTTAATTCAAAGATAAAAAGGACTTGGCATTGCTACTTTCCACTTGTTGATATATTTTAGTCGATCATTGTTATATCTATAACTTATTCCCTCTCGAATACTCAATCGGGGAGTATATCCACTTCATCGAGGGTAGTTATTAACAACGACCGTTCATTAATAACCCTTACTATTAATCAAATATAGAACAATGCCGTATACCGATTTAATAGTAGCATTTAATCTTTCTAACTCCTTGATGAAATCAATTGAGATTGATAACCTCAACACAAGCGGTTTCGATTTAACCAACAAAATTAATCCCTCTTAAGTTTATTAACCACGACCGTGCATTAATAAACCGAAGTTACTTACTTGTGAAACCATCAACGATTAACCATCGGTTCGTTGATCGTTTCTAGTAATAATTAATATATGAAACAAAACTAATTGATCCTTTAAGTAATGTTCAAAATATTAATATGAAATAAGAGTAGGAATTAATTAATATTCAAGGAAGAATATTATTAAAGAAGATGAATCCTACTATAATTAATATCAAGATGTTAACTAATTGTCATCTTAGCAACACTCCCCAATATTAATATAGAGGAAGAAAATATCATTCTAACTAATGTCGAGATGTTAACTAATTGTCATCTTAGCAACACTCCTCAACATCAATATAGAGATGGTATTAAGGAAAGAACTATTAATTAATATTCAAGGAAAGAAGTTAAGAAAATAACTCACAACTTTAATAATCAACAAGTTTCAAGAGCAACACCAAGAATGGAAGTTTAGCTCCTCATTTGGAGACTAAACATAGCTAGAAAAGTATAAAGAAATGCTATTCTAAACTGAGCTAAAGAGTATGGAAGAAGGGATGATTTTAAGAGGAGAAAAAGAGTGCTATTTATAGGTGTTTTTCAACACCTTTGGCCGGGTACCCGACCGGGTATAGGTACATACCCGACCGGGGTACCGGTCAAAATCAGATAATCTCCCACGTTTCATTGTTCCAGCACGTTAATTTGTCCGGGTCAAGTCAGACCCGACCGGGTCAAGTGAGGGACCCGACCGGGTTTGGTCTAAATCAGATTTTTTCAAAATCTTTGTGATCTTCAGCATGTTCTGGTGTTCCGGGTCATGTCTGACCCGACCGGGTCGGGTATGGGACCCGACCGGGTGAGTGCAAAAATTGGATTTTCTACACGTTCGGGTGATCTTTGCACACCGGGTTGTCCCCGGTCACTTCTCACCCGACCGGGTGAGGTAGTGGGCCCGACCGGGCCATGCACTTTCTTTGCATTTTCGTTTTTCACTTCTTACCCGACCGGGTCAAGTATTATACCCGGTCGGGTGTTTGATCCTGGGCAGCCAAATCTTCTTTTTCTTCACTTCAAAGTCTTCCTTTCCAAACCATAAATCCTAACTAAACTTTACAACTGACACAAATAGACTAAAATACAATTACAACTTGAAATCAAATAAATGTTTACAAACTAAATAAAACGTCAAACAATTAACATAAATCACTCATAAAAACATGTAATTATGCACTACTAATTAGTGTGCATCAACTTGCCTTCGGTAGTTCTCCCCTCGCAAGAAGGCTTGCTCTCGGCGTTCTAAGATGAGGTGAAGGTCAAGGGCCATATTGGCGTCGTTGACTCCGGGATCGTATTGGGCCACCCTTCGGGTAGGAAGGGTCACTTCCGTGGGAGCTTTAGCCTTGAATCCGTAGCAAAGGGAGAAGGGTGTTTCACATGTTGCCCACCGAGGGGTGGTGCGGTAGGCCAACAAGATGTTGTGGAGTTCTTCCACCCTGTCTCCCCCTTCTTCCTCCAGCTTCTTCTTTAGGCCTTCGAGCGAAGTCCGGTTCGCGTTCTCCACTTAACCGTTGCCCTGAGGGTAGGCAACGGATGAGAAGGTATGTTTGATGCCCCATGCCTCTAGGAGGGCAGAATAGGGGGCTGCCTCAAACTGAGTTCCGTTGTCGAAGATGATTTGCTGAGGGACACCGAACCTTGTGAGGATGTTCTTGAGGATGAAGTGGCAGCACCAAGCCTCGGTGATGCTGGCGAGGGGTTCCGCCTCCACCCATTTGGTTAAGTAGTCAATGGCAACGATGATGTACCAGTTGTTGGAGGTACCCCTCGGCAGAGGACCTACAAGGTCTATGCCCCATCTAGCGAAGGGTATGGATGTGCTGATGGGGGCGTAGTTGACCGCTGACCTGCCGGGAGACTTCTGGAAGTGTTGACAGGCGGTACACCTTCGGGCGAGATCCGCACAATCTCAGGCCATTGTAGGCCAGAAATAACCTTGCACTATGAGCCTTCGAGACATGGAGAAGGGTCCCTGGTGAGCTGAGCAATTGCCACTGTGCACTTCCTCCATGACGACTTCAGCCTCGTCTTGGTGGAGGCATCGGAGTAATGTGCCTTTGTAAGATCGTTTATAGAGCCTCCTGTCTTCGAGGATGTAGATGGGAGCCCTCAGCTTTGTTAGCTTGAAGCGCGCTTCATCCTCGGGCAGTTGCCCAGTGGTGATGAAGGCGATGATGTCTGAGATCCAGTCCTCTTGCTTTTGATGGATGTTCATGACAGGACTCGCATGTATGCTGGAGAGGCTGAGTTCCTCAATTTTCGCAATCTTGGATATGTGTTCAGGGGACTCGGCCGAGAGTTTTGACAGAATGTCGGCCTCAGAGTTTTGAGCCCTCGGTATTTGAGTGAGAGAGTGTGCCTCAAATACCTTAAGCAACTCTTTGGCCGCCTCCTTGTATTGTTTCATCCTCCCTTCCTTGGCCTCGTATTCCCCAGAAATTTGGCCGACGACTAGCTTGGAGTCGCACCTCACGTGGATTTGTCTGGCCTTCATGTTTGCTGCCAGCCGAAGGCCACTGAGGAGGGCCTCATATTCCGCTTCGTTGTTGGAGACTTTGAAGGAGAAGCGGATGGTGTAATAGGCGCGGAAGCCTTAGGGTGTAATGAGAACTACCCCTCCTCCGCATGCTTTGGTTGCGGAGGAGCCGTCGATGTAGAGGGTCCACCATTCATCCGAAGGCTCCTCATCTGTAGCTGATCTTGCCGTGCACTCCGTCACAAAGTCCGTCAGGGCTTGGCTCTTAATGGCAGGCCTCAGACGGATGTCGATGTTGTACTGGTTAAGGAAGATAGCCCATTTTACCATTCGGGAGGAGCTGGTGGGGCTCCTCATGAGGGCGCCGAGGGGTTGGTGCGTGAGGACCTGGATCGGATGAGCTTGGAAGTAGTGGCCTAGTTTCTTGACGGTCCAGACGATGTCCAACACCGTTTATTCCACGTTTTTAGTACTTCCTCCGTCTCTTTTTAGTTGCAACAGTCAACATTTCACGTTTACCAATACACAACTTTGACCGTCATTATATTTAATTATGTATTAGTAAAAATAAAATAAAAATTAGATTATAAAACTTAGTAATGAGACGAATTTAACAACATTTTTCAAAAAAAATAATTCACATAGCTTAATAAATAAAATGTAGTCAAAGTAAAGTACATGAATAGTGTATATATTCCAATGTTACAATTAATGAGATGCGGAGGATAGTATAAATTTACATATATGTTGTTATTGTTTTTATGTTTTTATTATAAATAAAAATATAATTCTGTTATTAATAAAATACTATCGTAGGAATATGTTTCCATGAACTATAATTCTGTTATTAAAAAAACTATAACTATCATAGGAATATTTTTCCACGAAGTAAATTTTATTGGAGAGTAAAAGAATGGATATAATAGGAAGACTAAACATAGATTTGTCCTCTAATGAAAATAATAAAAAAGTTATAATTATATATCTACATGTTGGAGTATTTCTATATAAGCCTAATAGCCATATTAAAAGTGGAATTGATCCTAAATTGGACTAAAAACGTTTGTATATTCCAAAATAAAATTATCATATTTTTATTTCTACAATATGATTAATTACTGTCATTTTTGGCAATACCAGACTTTAAACATTGCAATATTTTTTTAAACATGATAATAATAACTTTGATTTTTATTTTGTAAACAAAAATATGAGAATCTTATTTTGAAATTTTACTTTTTTATTCCCCTTTTAAAAATTTCACCTATTAAAAATCTTTTTACCATATTTCTATTCAGATAAGCATTTGAAAGCAGTGTTCTCAAAGGCGGCATAAGGCGGGGCCTAGGCGCGCCTAGGCGTGAGGCGGCGGAGAAACGCCTCGCATTGTAGAAAGGCGTGGAAAATGCGGTCAACTCAAAAGTTGACCACCAAAGGCGTGAAAAGACGAAGCCTAGGCGTGCTTAGGCGTGAAAAGGCGAAAGTTTTTCATATGAAATATTTTTTGCAAATAAAAACTGATTAAATTTAAAAATAAAGTACTTTTATAAACATGTTATATATGGAATCTAATATGGAATAGTAAAAAACAACAATGTATCCTTTTGTATTTGCACTTTTTATAATATATTAGGCTCAATCTTGTATAATATATTTTGGACATTTATTTTCTTCTTCATATATCAGTATTAAAATAATAATTATCAATAGAAATCTAAAACGCTTTTTTCCGCCTAGGTTTCGCCTATTCCCGCCTAGGCTTCAAAGGCTTGAGGCTTGTCCTCGACGCCTTGCCACGCCTCACGCCTTTTAGAACATTGTTTGAAAGTCACGGCAAAAACTGTTTATTCTGTTCACTAGCCGGGAGACAATAGGTTCTCCCATAAGGGACACACCCAAAGTGCGATTACGTGGCGGGGATGAAGGTTGAATCTTCCACGAAGCCCTAGAGTGCTGAAATCGAAGGTTTTTCTTGTTGGGCATTCAATCTTTTTCGTGATCTTAAATCTCTTCAGGCTTTCTATTGAATTCTATAGAGGATCTTTTTTAGTAAGCTTGGATTTATGGGGTGTTTGGATTTGATTCTTAAAACTGTTTCTGCTCCTCCTTCAGGGAGCAGAAGTAGAAGTTGGAGTGTTCGGGTAAAAGTGCAGAAGTGATTCTGGTGCTCTAATTTACTCCTAGAATCAGTTTTTTTAGAAGATGTGGTGACCAGCTTCTGAAAACTGATTCTGATTCTGCTTTTTCTTTAAAAAAGATTGGGTTCCAAACGCTCCTTAATAGATGTCATGTTGAATTCCATACCGAATCTCAATTGAGGTAATTTTACAATCCCTGACGAACCCTTGATTTGGGGCTGTCGCGAACAGTCTTCCTCTCTTCTGTTTATCAGAATTCTTGATTCCGATTTTAGTGCTATATACATTGTTTGGGTAGCTAATAGAGTTTGTATAGTGTTGAACAACCTATATATGCAATATGATTTTCAACTTACTTTTTTGAATGGGTTTCAGTTTTAGAATGATTTTCTTTGAAGAACAAGAAATTGCACACCACATGTATGCTCTGTTTTCGATAAAAAGATGGAAGTTTTTTTTTTGAAAATGCTCTTTTTCAGACCTTCGATCATAGGGAGTAATATAACAGAGGAAATCGTGAGTAATAAATTTAAATTAGTAAAATGCTCTTTTGAAGATGAAATTTTTTACTCAATGCTCTTGCATTGAGTAATAAATTAGTAAGCAAACAAGAAATCGTGAGCACTTCAGAGGAATATCTGCTCTTTTATAAGAACATAAGAATTATGTTTGCACTTTTTAAAAAGTTCATAGACATTTTTTTTAGTTCATAGACATATATAACAGGTTATATTTGTTTTGAAAAATATAACCGATGTATTTGTACCTTTTGGCTGGATTTTTTCGCTCAGTGAAACCTTTGAGTGCCAAATTCGAAGGTATAGAACAGGTGTATTTGTACCTTATATATGTGGCGCATTCGATCTTTCCTTAATCGAAAACTCTCTTTAGGCTTTCTGTTGAATTGTAAAGGCTTTAATAGATAAATCATATTGAATTCGACGCCGAATATCGATTCCACAATTTCCGACGGGTCTCTGATTTGTGGCTCTTGCAAACAGACTTCCTGCTCTCCTCCGGAACAGGCAATCGGTGCTTATCCAAAATATTGTTTTGGTAGTTATGATATGCGCTTTATCAGTGGTATGTATGCGACGTGTAGCCTAGAAATCATGGATAGGTTTGACCGGCTTCTTGCTGAGCTAGCACTTGACTACTACCATAACTCATGTAAGGTCAGTGATTTTTTAAGGAAATGTGTTTTGACTTTGGTTTTCTTCAATGGAAAAAAGTAGGTAACATAGCACTTGTTAAAAGAATATAGAGAGAGCGATGATGGTAAGCGTTGTGTTTCCCTCCAGGATGGAGTCACCTATAAAGTGGTGGAGGTAAAGAGAAGCACCCTATTTGATGCACCCCACACGACAGAGTATTTAAAGCCCAAAAACTCAAATGGACCCACAATGCTCTTCTTCTTGGAAGTAAGTCCAAGATGCTATATTGTCCGTAGATCTAAAAGTAAACCCTGCATATAGTCATTATAACTCTGTCATGGTGTAGGGATTCAGGTAATCCCAGGGACTCGGGCAATCATATTTTACATTTGATATTTTTTGTAAATGGATGCTTTAGCTTAATCTTGATGTTATTAAAACACAACTTGGATTTTAAAATACGCAAACATGCAACTTGGATAGATCTATTCATCTCTATATGACTATTGTTAGAATGTAAACTCTATTTTGGGCTAAGTTAATAATTGATGTTTGTTGTAATAGGCAAAGCCCAAAATAATTAGGAGTGTTCTAGAAAGTTTCTAGAGTGTGAGACTTCTACAGAATAATTAATAATAGAGAATTCTAGAGAACTCTCTGCCACTTATTGTAGATGTAACTAGTATAAATATGTGTAGTTGTGCTTATTTGTAATCAAGCATCAAGCTAAGATATTTCAAGTAATAAAATACAAGTTCTCTCTTCTTCCATCCTCTTCTAATTAGCTAAAAGTTTTTCCTACTTACACAATTATCTTCATAACGGCCTAAAATATTTAGCCTCTACCTCTAATATTTAGCCTCCCTTCACCGAACACAATTTCTATGTGATGTTTATAACAATCGATATACTATCATATCATTTCTAGCATGAGTATTATTTTACCACACACAGGATTTGATTAACATACATGCATTCACCATAGAATTGATACAACTTACATATAATTTATGTATAAATAGTTTTTTGTTAGACAATAATTGTGCATTTTTGGTCACACCTACTTGTCGGTATGTCTATAATATCGGCCAAAAGTATGACTTAACTAATGTACAATAAGAGTCTTCATTTTGGTGTCTAATAACTGACTATGGGGAAGCCCACACAATGTTATTGTTACCAATGACGTGACAAACTGTAGCTTCTCCAGGTTTGATTTTCAAAACATGGAAAGCCAAATGATTTGGGTTCCACGTGGCAGTTTTTGAGTGGCATGCAACCAACACCTTATCAGCATGCAGCTTCTGGCGGCGGCCCAAAACGGAGGCGGTGAAAGCCGTGGTCCCTTCTAAACTGTGGCAATAATAGACGGCATAAGGATATACCTCTTTATGGCAAACCACAACGTTCCTACCAATCATTTTTGTTCTAATAATGGTAAACTCTTCAACCCCACTTTGCCCTTCAATGTCATTTTGGAAGACTCCCACATTTTCTCCGGTGTGAGCTAGGCCAAAGTCCACCATATCTTCTAAGGATGTGACACATTTTCTCTGTTCTATTTTTAGTTTTGTCTCACAACTTTCCAAAACCTTTTTTATGTTTTTGACCTGGGATGAATCGGGCCAAATGAAAAATCTCTTCAAGATTTGTGGTAAGTGTTGGGAAGAGAATGGGTATGAATTGGCAACTTGTCTTGGTAAGATTTTTGCCTTGTTTGTGGGTTGAGGTCCCAGAATCCTCAACTTCATGCCGGGAAGAAAGTCCTCAAAAAGAAAGTAGGTTGTCAAATTCTTGTTGTCAGCTTCAACAACTTCAGCGGCTTGTTCATACTTTGGATTTCCATCTCCTCCTGGATTTGCAGGTCCGGTGATGTGCCAGAAGTGGAAGTCATGCATATCTGTTTATGAATTTGTTAAAAACAACATATAGTGAGTATAGTAAAATTTGATCAATCCAATTATTTATCATCTACTCCCTCTGTTACAAGTTCCACATTTGACTTCACACATATTAAGAAAATAAATTTGACTTTACTGTGGAGTGCACTGTTTGACACTGTTTGACACTATTTGACACTATTTGACACTGTTTTAATGTAGATGATTTTCCAAATAAGGAAATGTTTGAAAGTGGAACTTAATTTTGAATCTGCCCGAAAAGGAAAGGTGGAACTTGTTTCAGAAACGGAGGGAGTATAAGTCAATTGTACCTTTTATCATATATTGTACACAACATTTGATTACATACTCTAAAAGCCTGTTAGTAATACTCAAATCGACTGTATTGATGGATCATGTTGAAATTTATGTAATTCTAACTGAAGTGGCTGTATTGGCTAATTCTGCTGATTTATGAAAAAATTATATTTAAAATATGTATTATTAATAAAATAAAGAAAAAGTTATATGAAAGAAAAGCTATAAAATGATCGTCTACAATAACTTCAGCTAATACAGCCTGAAAAGTAACTTCAACCTTGCTTTTTTTGTTATTACAGAATTCAGCGCGCGAAATCAAACATTACGTATTTGGTGAAAAAGTTGACCGATAAATTTGATAAGTCGAAAAGCAGGATCACCAAACAGGCTCTAAATACTAAATTGTATAACAATCATAATAAATAGAGTTGGATTTAAACAGAATGCAGTTACTATATAAAAATACTACGTATTTTAACTATCAATTATTACCAAAAAATATCGATCATCTTATAATTAATTTGGTGAACTAAAGGTTAATATATTACGGAGTATATATATAGAAACCTGGGAATATATAGAAGTCTGGGATACTAATTTATAACCTGTCACGAGAAGCTTGCGAATGGCATCTGGAACTGGAACGTTAACTAGTTTGTCATTCCAATATACTTCAGCTGCCCCGGGCAAAGCATTATTCCCTATTATCTGTTGATAGGAAAGCCCACTATTTTTAGTGCGGATAATAATCAAGCAAGAAATGAACAAAATTCATTAAGAATACTCACTTGTTGGCAGACGAGGACAATCAAGGCAGAAAATAGATAAATGGAATTGGAAGCCATATGAAGATTTGTTTAGGTTTCTGGATAAGTTGATAAGAGTGATGGAGGGAAATGAGAATATGTATGGTATTTATAGATACTAAATCGACATCTCTTTTTATTCTTTAATATTTTATCATTCTCATCAAACTCTTGTTATTCGTACTCTGGTTTGGCATGAATTTGTATTATTATTTTTTGTTATTTTAATAATTTACGTAGTATTTTATTTTGAATTATACGGAATATAACTTGAGCTTTATTATTAATATCATTATATTATTTTCATATATAATATGTTTATACTCTCAATATTCAAAGAGACCTTTTTGCGACCTAGTTTCTATTCTAATCTACGAGCTTTTTGTGTGAGAGAAAGAGACATAGAGTGTGGAGTTATACACCTTTACAAGAACCGATTCTTTATCGGATAAAAGTACTAATTTTATATGAGAATCCTGGAATTTTTTTGAAAAGTGAAAATATATTTTGATTTTTAGTTGCGTACTTTGCTTTACATTTCATATACATGTCTTGTTATTCTCACGAAATTTATAATGTTGTGCATATCATACTTGGTTGTACCCGATCGAGTTTCGAGACCCGTTGGATCCAGATCCAGGTTCAAATTTTCAGACCCGACGGGTATACAGACTGAGTCCGGATCCTTTATTAACTTAGCGGGTCTGAATCTGGAATACTGCGTTCCAGTCTTGACCCGACCCATCGACAAGCCTAATCAACAGTGTGACAAGTGTACTCAAATATTAGCTCCATATTTGAGATCATTTTGTTAAGTCCGGGTGTCTTGAAAAAACAAGTGGTTGGGCTTTTGGGTGGGTTGAGGATGATGTGGCGATGTGGGGATAGATGGTGAGTTAGACTTGGGATACACACTTTTTGTATACATACTTTTTACATATTTCTGTGTAAAGTTTTTTTATGTCTGTGTAAGGTTTTTTAAAATACGTTATGTCTGTTTAAGGTTTTTTAAAATACAATATGTCTGTACAGACATAAAAAAAACTTTACTCAGACATGTGTAAAAAGTGTGTAGATAAAAAAAACTTTACACAACGTTGGTATTGTGGAATAGGATTATTGGTCTAGTGGCCGACTGGCCGGGCAAGTGATTGGGCCTTGTAAACGTTGGCATGCTGCAGACTTGTTCCCAACGCTGCTGACTTAAAGGTTTGGCCGTTAGCGTCTGACCGACTGTCAATTAATATTGGAGTACTACGTATTACGTAGTATATTACTCCAGTACTCCGTATTTGACTCTAAGGTATCACAATTTATTCATATTGGTACACCTTCTCTAAACATTTTTTGCATATATATATATATATATATATATATATATATATATATTTATACTCCGTATTTTTTTTTTGATAATTCAGGTGTCGGGGCTTACGTTCCCATAATCCTGGAGTGTATGAACTACCCTTTAAAGCTCCTAGACAGTTGAATCCGGATCTAATCACAGTCAACCTCGTCTGTACTGGCTCCAAAGGATGAATCCAGCAGGACTTACATCACCTTTAGAGCTGCTCCTCCCACCACATGAACCTGCTACCTTCATTACCATCCTCTCCCTTCTCAGTCGCTGAGCAACTCCGTGAAGGTAGGAAAAATCATTGGGAGCAAGACCTCTCTCATCTCCCCTTGGTGGGAATTGAACCCAAAACCTCCCACAATGGAGAGACTCGAAGGTGCATATATTTATTATAATGATAGCGATACTTCTTTTTTCATATATATATATATATATATATATATATATATATATATATATATATATATATATATATATTCTCATAGTTTAAATATTGTTTTATTCACTTATTCACTTATTGGGTATATAAAAAATGCAAAGTGGCCGGATAATTTAATTAAAAAAATGGGTCAAAGGCAAGCAGAGATGCCCGACTCAGATAAAAATCTTTTGGTGATCCTAACGTTACTGCCTTATGGCCGGCAGTGCCTTATGGCCCCCGCTCAACCCCAACCCAACCCCAATATATATTTTAAAATTCAATTATGTATATATTTTTGTGCTGAATGTACTTAATGATAAATTATAATATTATTTTAATAATATTGTTTGTATATATCTCCTAGTTTCATACTTACAGGAAATTTCTTCAAAAAACCTACAAAATAGAGAAACAAGTGATGATAAAAGGGAAAAAAACCTAAATAATACTAAAACACATGAGTTTTCCCAAAATATGACTCCATGTTTTTTTTATCTTCAGTATGACTACGCACCTATGATTCCGGCGGTTATGCGCATGCAGTTATTAGTCCTACGGTTACAAACTACTCATACATTAGGAAAAATTAGCAAGTAGTCATAGATTGGTCATGACACTAAGTTTTAGTGATACGAGGGATAAATTTCTCATGATAAAAGTGGGCATGGGAGAAAATCATATGCCCAATACATGCACGAAAAAGTAAGAAATGAGTCTGTTATTTCATTTTGAGTTGTGATATGTGGCAGTGATTGGGTGATTACATATATTTGTTATTGGTGTTTGATGACATATGAATGTATGTTGTAATTTCCTTGACAGTTTTTATGTTATATTGTAGTTTAATTGGGTGTCGTTTTTTAGGTATGGTGCAGATTTTTTGTATGATTTATTGTGTTTTTTTGTGGTGTAATTTTGTTTTGGGGTGTCCCTAAGGCCTTGGTTAATATATAGTTTACCTCTCGTATATATTTTAATAAGCAGTATGTATATCACTTAATCGTATATTTCTGCTTTAGTTTTGCAGGTTTTTCAAATATTATATTTAGTAGTACAATCCTTATTGTTGTGGTATTGATTACTGGTCGACCAATGTTAAAATTTCAAGCTACTAATTTAATGTTAATGTTAGTTATTGATCATTCATGTTATTTTTGATGTTGACAATTATAATGAATATTAAACAGGATGATCCAGAAACTAATGAGCAGTACTCAGCTCTTGAAAATTGGAAAGATCAACGTTTGACTCGTAGTGGCGAATGGAAAACAAAAGAAGCACATTAAAAATATGTAAGTATATTAAAAATATTTTATTAATTGTAATCATAATGATATGTAACTCTATGAATTGGAATTGGATAGACTCAAATGAGCGAAGAGTACCAAACACAGCTAGGACAAACAGGGTCATCGTCTTCAATAAATGAGATTGATATTATGCACCGGAACTTGAGAAGATATCGCGGACGCCAAAGCGGAGTGGGTCCTACCCTATCAAAGGGTGCATCTCGACGAGTGGAAGATGGCACTACTTCAACATTCCAAGACCACCGGGATATTCAAATAAGTGAATTGAAGGCAAATCAAGAGTTGATGCAAGCAAATCAGAAGTTGGTGCTTCGTACCCTACAACAATTTATTCCTGGCTTTCAACTTCCTTCACGCAGCTCCGCAAATGATGTTCCTTCGACATCAAGTGCTAACCAACTTTGATGGAGTATATGGGTCTAGGCCCAGGACCCACATACTCAGGAAAACAGAAGGCACAACTGTCACCCAGTGGGACCCTCATCGGCCAGATGACCCTCATCGGCCGAAACGAAGTCAACCTAGAACATGATCCGGAAGCCAGAAGAACCGGGTCTTCGTCGGCCATGCACTCGTCGGCTATAAAGAACTCTCAGAACCGGATTTTACACTTACTCATCTGTATACTCCATCATTTACTTTGTATTCGGCCCAATAGTGGTCCAGTTGTAAATGGGCCTCCCCAAGCCCAAGGCTTGGGAGCCCAGCCCGTATTTTTCCTATAAATACTTTTTCTGGAGGTAGTTGTAGGGGTTGGAAAATCATTTATTGAAGCATTTACTTGCACTTCTCTCTCTAACTCTCACTTCTCTGTAGAATATAACCTATCATTTGGTGCTCTCGTTGAGAGCTAGAACAATCAAGTTAGCATCCTTCGTCGCTACCAAGCACAGCTAACCACTGATCATGGGAAGAACTAAGTCAAACCGCAACCTCGTCAGCAAAGCCATCCCCGAGGACCAGGAGAACAGAGAACGTGAGGAAGACGCCACGGCCGACCAGGTCGGAGGAGGGGATGTCTTCCAGGAGGCCATCAACCTCACGACGGATCTGCGCAACCAGCTCAACGGCGACGCCCCTAATGCCCGCATCGGCCTGGATAAGAAGCGTGCAGAGAAGGCAGATAATGCCACAGCCCAACTGTTGGCCACGGCTTCTCCGTCTGTTGACCCACAGGTTCAGGCCGCACTATCGGTCATCATCGCCAGCCTGGCTCAGAACCCCACCGTCCTCAGCGCACTCATGCCAAGAACTAGGGAGAACATCACTCCACCTCCTCGGCCCCAACCATTGACCATCAAGCTAGACAACGATGAGGGGGTGATAGCCCAGGACATGGCGTCATCCCACTCCCACCATGCTTTCCCTCTTCAGCCCGGACCGACCCCAGCGCGTAGAAAAGCCTCTGCCTTCAATAGGTTGGGTGACATGCGCCGTCGTCCGGTATCGGAGAGGATGGCGGGACAGATTGGTGAACGCCGACCTAGCTCGCCAAGGGAAAGCCTGGGGTCTGTGTCCCGGACAGCGGACCAGCCCCGCCTGAACAAAGGCAAAGGAAAGCTGCACGAGGACGACGTGGGCCACCATATCAACACGGCCCACGAGGTCCGCATGCGAAACCAACAGGGCGCCACTACGGCCACCAAGGACCCTCGGGACGAGGTTATCGCCCAGCTGGAAAGGAGACTGGCTCAGATGGAGGCCAGACAATCGGCGAACATTCCCACGGCCGGTGCCTCCAATGACCCCGGCCTCAATGCACTCATGAACAAGGTCAGCGCCCTTGAGAGGGAATTGGCTGAAGGACGAGGTGACCCTGTCATCCAGGTCAGGACCAGGACTCCCTTCACTAACAGGGTGCTCTCGGCTCCCATCCCGAAGAAGAACAGGGGAAACGCCATCAAGTCCTACGACGGCCGCTCCGATCCCCAGGAACACTTCAGCCGCTACAAGAACAACATGCTGATGGTGAACGCGTCGGATGAATACCTCTGCCGTTGGTTCCTCTCCACTCTCGAAGGGCCAACGTACGAGTGGTTCAACGCGCTTCCCGAAGGAAGTATAGACTCATGGCAGGACCTTGCCCAGCGCTTCCTCACCCACTTTGCCGGGAGGAAGCGTGCAAAGAAGTACTTCACCCATCTCCTATCGGTCAAGCAACAACACGATGAGTCACTCCGGTCTTTCATAGATCGGTGGACGAGGGAGACCGAGGAAGTCGAGGGGGGCGATGAGCGCACCCTCCTCGTCCTCTATCAAGAAGCTCTCTGCAGCACCCCCTACGCAAGGAGCCTCATCACCGACCCCCCGAGGTCATACGCAAAGGCGCTTCAGCGCGGAAGTTTGTACGCAGACGCCGACGAGCTCCACAACCACAAGAAGGACGGAGGCCACCCCTCCAAGAAGACAAATCCTTCGCCGGCCCCGGGAACATCCCCGGCCGGCCAGGGTGCCCAGGGCCGTCACGGATCTGGTGGACAAAGCAAGAAAGACCGCCAGTGGCGGCCGAGGATCCCCCTCACGCACTCGGTCAGCACCATCCTCGACTACGCCGAGAAGCACAACCTCACTGAACAAGCTCCTCGAACGACGGAGGATGTCCATGCCATTCAACAAGGCGGCACCTACTGTCGTTTCCACAAGAACACCTCCCACAACACCGACGACTACATCACGCTGAAGAAAGCCATCGAACGCCTGATTCGGCAGGGGGAACTCTCCCAATTTGTTAAAGGTGGCCCGCGCAAAAATACGTGGGTAAACACTAACAAATCTGGGGGCGTACTCTCTACGAAGAAACGGGAGATCGGTAGGCTCAGCGATGATGAGGAAGACTTTGAGGAGCCTCCACCAAAGAAGAGTCACATTCACCTCATCGTAGGTGGAAACACTGGGGGGACTCCGTCACCCAGAGGATGAAATAGGCCAATCCCTCTACATTGGAGAGGTATCCCACGTCCCCCCCCCCAACCGAAGAAGCAGCGGACGGAGGCGATCACCTTCACCGACAAGGATCTACCTCCGAGTACTGAATCACATAGGGACGCCCTTGTCATCCGGTGTGAGATTGGTAACTCGATCATCCACCGCACTTACATCGATACGGGGAGCTCCGTCAATGTGATGTACCTGGACACTTTCAAGCAACTGAAACTGAACAAGGCTTTGCTCAAGCCGATCAAGACACTGTTGTCCGGCTTCACCGGGGACTCTATCGATGCTGAGGGCACGATAGTCCTTCCCGTGGAGGTCGGCGACGGCTCCCACCGCGCAAAGATTGACATGGAGTTTATGGTGGTCAACCTTCAGTGCGCCCACAATCTGATCTGGGGGCAGCCAGCACTGGAAGACCTGGAGGCCATCATCTCCATGAAACACTTATGCTTGAAGTTCCCGACCTGCGGCGGCATCGGCTATGCCAGAGGGAACCAAATGATAGCCAGAGCATGTTACCTCAAGCTAACGAAGCCGGTCGAAAGAGAAGGACAAAGAATAGACACCATCACTGCGACCTTCGCCAAGGACGAGGAGAGGCCACACGCCGAACCGGTCGAAGAGGTCGAGGAGGTCCTCCGGATGCCTCCCGACTGGAGCGGGTCCTGAGAATCGGGAAGCAACTCCCATAGGACCAACGTGATGGCATCCTCCTAGTCCTAAGGTCGTATGCCATCATCTTCGCATGGGGCCCGGACGAAATGTCAGGCATCAGCCGGAAGGTGATCACTCACCGGCTATCAGTCAATCCGGCCTCCACGCCTATCAAGCAGAATCGGCGCTACTTATCAGCCGACAGATGAGACTTCGTCAAGGGAGAGGTCACCAAGCTTCTCTCAATCAACCACATCAAGGAGGTGAAGTACCCGACATGGCTAGCCAACGTCGTCCTTGCCCAGAAGCCGCCAACGTTCAGAATGTGCGTCGATTACACTGACCTGAACAAGGCGTGCCCGATAGACCCATTCCCTCTTCCCAATATAGATCAATTGGTGGACGAGACGGCGGGATGCGAGTTGATGTCATTCCTCGGTGCTTTCAGAGGGTACCACCAGATTTTCATGCATGAAGATGATGCTGAGAAGACGGCCATTATGACCCCAGGGGGAATTTTTTGCTACCTCTTCATGGCCTTTGGGCTCAAAAACTAAGGCACCACCTACACCAGGATGGTAGCCAGAATCTTCAGGGCGGTCCTCGGCCGGACGATGGAGGCATACGTCGACGACATGATCATCAAGAGCAAACGGACCGCCACACACGCTGACGACCTCCGGGAAATTTTTGAAATCATGAAGGAATTCAATCTCCGCCTGAACCCCAAGAAGTGCGCCTTCGGCGTCCAAGGCGGCAAGTTCCTTGGCTACATGGTCAGCCGAAGGGGCATTGAGATAAATCCGGAAAAGATACAGGCCATTATCAACATGGAGCCACCGCGCAATGTGAAGGAGGTGCAACGGCTGACAGGTCGCCTGGCGGCCCCAAGCCGTTTCCTCTCCAAGTCAGCCGAAAGGTCACTCCCTTTTTTTCCAAATCATGCGCAAAGCAAGCAGCTTCAAGTGGATGACGGAGTGCCAACAAGCATTTGAGGAACTGAAGCGGTACCTCTCGTCCCCACCGGTGCTCTCTAAGCCCAAAGCCGGTGAAACCCTCTTCTTGTACTTAGCGGTGAGCACGTCGGCCATCAGCTCTGTGCTCACCTGCGAGGATGAAGGGGTGCAGAAAGCCATATTCTACATCAGCAAGACGCTCCGGGAGGCCGAGCTCAGGTACTCCCCCGTTGAGCAGACGGTGCTAGCCATCATCCATACAGTGAAAAAGCTGGGGCACTACTTCCAGGCCTACACCGTCCATGTATTGACCCAGCAGCCCCTCGGCGCACTCATGAGGAGCCCGACTAGCTGCTCAAGGATGGTGAAATGGGTGATCTTTCTCAGTCAGTTCCAGATTCAGATCAAGCCAAGGCTCTCTATCAAAGGGCAAACCTTGGCCGACTTCGTCACCGAATGCACAACAAGGGAGACGGCCGCCACTACCCCTGGGCCAGAGCCAGACGACACGTGGACCCTCTTCAGTGAAGGCTCTTCAGCCGCGAAATCATGCGGGGGCGGCGTCGACCTCATTTCCCCTGAAGGATTCAGAGCATACTACGCTATCCGCTTCAACTTCAGGGTGTCAAACAACGAAGCCGAGTATGAGGCCATCCTCAGCGGCCTCAGACTCGTCGCCGGCCTCAAAGCCAAACACATCAGAATCAAATGCGACTCCAAGCTGGTGGTGGACCAGGTTGAGGGCTCGTACGAGGCCAAGGAGGGGAGGATGAAACAATACGGCAGGCTGCCGAGGAATTGCTGAAAGCATTTGAAACCCACGAGATCACACAGATCCCTAGGGCCGAGAATGCTGAGGCCGACATCCTATCCAAACTCAGCTCAGATACTCGAGAGCACATCTCCAAGATAGCTAAGGTCGAGGAGCTGAGCATGTCCAACATCCATGTCAGCCCCGTCTCATGCATCCAGCAACGGCCGGAGGACTGGATCTCCGACATCATGACCTTCATCAGAAAGGGGGAGCTACCCCAGGATGAGGAGAGGGACAAGTTAGCCAAGCTCAGGGCTCCAAGCTACACCATCGAGGATGGCAAGCTCTACAAGCGATCCTACAACAACACTCTCCTCCGATGCCAGCACCAGGACAAGGCCGAAGTGGCCATGGAGGAAGTCCACTGCGGTATTTGCTCCTCACACCAGGGTCCATTCAGCATGTCCAGGCATCTCATCGTCCAGGGCTATTTCTGGCCGACGATGGCGCGGGATTGTGCAGATCTTGCCAGGAAATGTACCGCATGCCAGGTAATCCAGAAGGCCCCTGGTCAGCCAGACGTCAACTACGCCCCGGTCAGCAATGCCATTCCATTTTCAAGGTGGGGGATTGACCTAGTCGGCCCATTACCCAGAGCTGCTGG